CTGGACTCAAATCGACCACATCGCTATCAGTTACCGCTGGAGGGGATCGATTCTTTACTGCCGCTCTTACTAGTCAACACCTGTTGATACGGACCATGCTTTTCTAAGAGCCCAAAGCTCCTTACGCCTGGTAAACAACCGTAAAAAAGCCATCGAAAACGGATACCTACGATACAACGTCAGCGATTGTAGCAAATCGGCATTCGAAGCGGAACTCTCCGATCGCCTGTCAGTTCAACCACCAGCCGAAGGATTCAATGAACACTGGAAACAAATCAAGGAAGCTATGCAAATATCAATAAAAACAACGTCAGACCCTCACGCATGCTCAAAACATAAATGACGGATCTCATCGACCTCGGCTGCCCTGCTGGACGCCCACAGAACCCTTCCTCCGGATGCCGCATATGACACAGCGCGCAAATCCCTCAAACGCCGGCTCATCAAGTGTCCGAGGAATGGTCGCGAGAAGCGGTGGATAGGAAAGTGTAGAGAGATGGAGAAGGCTGCGGTTATTGGTAATAGTCACAATCTTTTCCGTCTAGTTAGGAATACCGGTCTTAGGAGAATAGGCGTAAGTGAGGTAATTAAGGAATGGAATGGTACAGTGATTCACGATCAGTAACGCCGTCTTGATCGATGGGCTGAACATTTCAAGGCTCAGTTCAACTGACCACTATCGGCATCTGAACTGTTACTCTCCACCGCAACTGAGTAAATTCTGCCAGTCGATGCCAGTCCTCCATCTGAAATGGAGGTTTCCCGGGAAATAAGCTATCTCAAAAGGCATAAGGCCTTAGGACCAGACGGGCTCTCCCCATCAGTTGTTAAGGATGGAGTTTTAGCATTGATTTCGGAGTTAACGAAACTCCTGGGCTCAGTGTGGGAGAGGGAACAGGTTACAGCTGAATGGTGTGAATCGGTCTTCATACCGATTTACAAGAAAGGTGACAAATCCTCTTGTGAAAACCACAGAGGAATTAGTTTAATCAACATTGTTTCTAAACTTCTCGCTGGCATCATACTCCGTCGATTGTCTGCCGCACGTGAAGAGTGCACACATGAGAACCAGGCTGGTTTTAGACCCGGTCGAGGCTGTATCGACCACATGTTCACTCTGCGCCAAACTCTGGAGCACGGACATTATTTTCGTATACCCACCATCTCTGTCTTCCTAGATCTGAAAACGGCTTTCGACTCAGTCGACCGCTCTAAACTCTGGCTCTCTCTGAAGGGAGTGTTCAAGAAGTTTATTTCAATATTACAATCCCTCTACAATGATAGCCGAAGCCGAGTTCGAGCTTACGGCACCTTTTCACCCGAGTTCACCACGAAAAGTGGTGTTCGACAGGGTTGCCCTCTTTCTCCTCTTCTACTTAACTTTGTCATAGATTTAATTCTTGAAACAGCCCTATCCTCGTGCAGGGATAGCCGTATCGATTTACTTACGGGTGGCAGACTGTCTGATCTGGAGTACGCAGACGACATTGTGCTACTAAGTGACGATCCAGGTAAGTTGCAAGCATTTCTGGATAAGTGCAGATGACTTTGTGTTACTAAGTGATGATCCAGGTAAGTTGCAAGCTTTTCTGGATAGTTTGAGTGCTAGTGTTGCCATGTTCGGTATGCGTTTTGCACCTTCGAAGTGTAAAATGCTACTACAAGATTGGGTTGATCCAGCACCCAGTCTCACCCTAACTGGGGAAGTAGTAGAGGAAGTAGACAAATTTGGCTATCTAGGCAGCTATACTTCACCCGGTGGACGCATCACAGATGAAGTGTCAGCTCGCATGCAGAAGGCTCGGTTGGCATCTGTTAACTTGAGACATCTCTGGCGCCGTCGCGACATCCGGCTGTCGTGAAGGGTCGAGTATATGCTGCAGTAGTTCGACCAGTCTTGCTCTAGCAAGGGATGTTTGCCGAGGCAGGTAGTGGTTGGATAATGGTCAAGGGTGGTCAAACGAAGACCTGGCATGAGGGCTCGAAAACCCTAACGAGGAGACTAGGTCACATAGGCCCCGTTAGGCTCCCTGGATGGGGACCTCGGGATGGTTAGAAATACTGAGTCATATGGTTGGGTATCGCAAACGGTGGCGCTCGTGCATCCACTCATTATTCCTCTAACACCGTTCTATATGAATTCTCCATCTTCCGCTTGATTTGCTTTGAACATTCCAATCTTCATCCTGCTCTTTTATCCAAATGGGGCACCAAAAGACAGCGACCAAAACCGGCGCACGAAAGTGCATGATTAATGGTTGTAAAAACTGAACTGAACTAAACGCATGTCGTTCTGTCAACTGAACAAGTCTCCTCAGTGCGGAGCTGGTTTTATGGATTTTAAACCGAATCATTTACTCTATAGGCTACATCACCTCTTGGTATGAACCAAATTACGCAACCGAACAGTTGACACAAATGCGATAAAACCAACGAGTGGATCTTTGTTTCGATGTACAAACAATTAGACCATCGATCGATGGGCCGGGAGTAGCATACAGTATTTACCTCGTTTTGCCGCAGAAAACTGGTTTGCTTATCAGATAAGTGTAGGCCAGTATGTGTCCTTGATCGGACCTATTGTAAATAATCAATGAACAATAAATGTTATACCGATCATTTTGATGACCTTCACGTTTTCTTAGACCTGTTTGCCACTCTAGTAGCCCAGAACGTTCTGCATACGCGTATATGTGAATTTCATTGGGCGTTGTTAATTACAATGCCCATGAGACATGCTCAATTTGGGCAACTAATAAGTTCTGTTTCACCTTGCCGGGTTCCGGGGCCACACCGACGCCTGCTCCTGCCTCTATCGGTCACTCATCGATTTCGTTTGTTTCATGTAGATATGCAATGAAAACGGCCCGGGAATGGTCAACTCCTGAATTCAGTGAATACACATATGCGCAAACAAATATCGCATACTTTTGTATTATACGTCTTTGTGTGATGAACATTGAAAGAGGTGAGCCCCATAGTTACTGTTAAGTTAGAGGTGATGAAAACCCAAGGTGATGAAAATTCAACTATCGAGTTGGATAAGATGATCATTTACTGGGACTGGAGGCAATGAACTGCCAAGAAGGATACGTTTGATATTGAAATGAACAACAGTGACACCGTCTAGAGTCAGTTTATGGTATTGTATGTTTCGTCAGAGACTGACGTAAATGAATAGAGAGCGATTGTGGCCCATTCGGCATGTGTCCTAGCTCTACATTTCGCTTATTCATTGCTTCTTCCTGATGAACATTACTCCACAACAAAATCAAACTCCTCACTGTTCTATTAGAAATAAAAAACAGTTGTTGGTGTTGATGAGTTCTACAATCATTCCACATCATTTCCAACACACGGTAGATGTTTCAGAAAAATGCACATTCCACATCCAAACGCTTAGAAATTAACCATTGTGGCTCGCAGGAGTGCACCAAAACCGTGGACAACAGTACACCCTGCGACTATNGACTATAGTAATGCATCAACTTAGATTTTTGGTTTAACTCCGCTCCTACATGCACGATACTTAATATTTTTGAGAATCTAGAAAGCAACCAAACGCGAAGCCGTAATACGGAATTTCATCAAATTATGTTTAATTGTAACGAAAATATATATCTATAAAAACAGAATTTCACACCAAACTCGGTTTTAAACTGTGGTGCCGTCCTGAGGTTGTACTTCGGCACGGAAACTGGCAACCGTAGTGAGTCGANTCGACGGTTGACAGACTGGTGTAAGCTACGTCCGTGTGCACCATATGGGCTATATGCTCACCTTATTCTCAATAACTTTGAAAGAACGAGGACATCCAGGTAGGTCACTAAAAGTCATTGATTACCATTGTGTGGTGGAAGAGACTTACTGGTAACGAGAAATTCAGAATTGATGCCTTTCTCGATATCAATACCAACCCGTACAAGATCGCCGGAGCGTTAAACTGGAGCCAGTAACAATGTGGCACAATATTTGAGGTGTAAGCAGCTAAAAACCAGTCATAAGCAGATTGGGCACCAGAAAAGCTCTCGGGGAAAGGTAAGGGCATATTGACACGTATGGCCTAAAATTCCATGAGTCATGCTTCGGAGTGGAAAACGGTGCTTGACTTGAACATTTCGCTGCGAACGGTAAACCGAATATTTGTCGCAGTGAACATCCTGTTTTTCGACATATTTTCATCAAAATTAAGGATAATCTGATGAAGTTCCTTATCACGGCTTTTCGTTTGGTTGCCGTCTAGATTCGCAAAAACAGTGATGATCGCGCATGTGGTAGCAGAGATAATCCAAAAATCTAGGTGCAATACTTCTATTGCAGGGTGTATTCAATAACTAATAGGTTGTACAAAAGGTCACAATGGAAATTGGTAATATGGTGCACAATGAAGCAAAGTCGAAGCCAGGATACCACAAATTCCATTCGTTTCGATTCCAGAACACAGTTATTTCTTAGTTTGAGGAAAGTAAACATAAAGTAGATAGGATGATCTTTGTCATCAGAAGAACTGCATAGCATTTTATTAGATATAAGACGCTTTATGGATCCATGCTAGTTCACACTATCGATAGCCATGCGCTTTAGTTCACTGCATTAGTAGTTCCTGTCTTTGGACGAAAGATCGCGGAGAGATATATGAATGACACGGTTTATAACATAAAGCAGCACTCCGTCTTGTCTCAAATACAAATAAGAAAACCCTAGAAATCCAAGCACAAACAACCCGGATCCAGCTCACCAGTTGATGCTTCACAAAATAACTGGAATGTGAAACAGACTTCACTTCTCTTTCGGCACAGTTCGGGAGTGACTGCCCGCTTCAAAATGAAACGCATTTCCTCTTCCATATGTGCATACCAGGGGATAACGATCTTGATCAGGACGGTGCAAGTGCGAAGAACATGGAATGCCAAAATAGTACAAAGGTCAAATCTCAGAATTTGACCGTAATTGGATACGGTTGCAAAGGATAAAGTGTAGAAATCTGCAACAAAACTTACCAAGCTATCATTACACCATTGTCTGTACACAAGCGAGGTGGTGGAGCAACCACATGCAGCCCATATAGGCCGGCAGTTTCAACCAACCCATATCTAATGTAAGAGTTGGCTGCCACCCCACCAGAAACAACCTGAAAAATAGAATAACCTAGTGAATGAAGTCCATACATGATAATTTCGAGCTCAAGAATGATGAAAATGACCAATCGATAGACTAACCAGTTTTGTTGGCCATGGCAATCCTTGCATGAGCAGGTCAGAGTGAATGGTAGTTAACTCGATAGCTCGTTGTACTCTTCGACAGATCAATTGAGTGAATGAAAGTTGTATGGCGGCACAGATGCTCGCTAGGAGATCCCGAGGTAGCAATTTCGAATCTCGATCTGTTGCGTGGACTGATAAAGTGAAAATAACAAGAAAATATGGAGAAAATGATCATACTACTAACGAGTAGTGAAATGTGATGATTGATTTGTAATTCACTTTCGACAAGCGGCTTAAGTCAAGCAAACTATGGTCGACCATGGTCAAGGGCTTCAAGCAACGGTTCATGATTCGCGTGCACTTCGGAAACATCAAAAATATGGTGGAAAACAGCTTCACCCGGATAATAAAATTTCATAACATAACATCACAACATCTCGATTTTGTTTGTGACCTTACGCGTTCCACCATGCCAAGATAAACAGCATACGTGGCCGGTCCTGAATGCAGAACTCTTCGGTCATATGACTAAGGGTCCAACCGGGTTGAGAACCTATTTCTTCACTAACATTTGATGGAGAAAAAGTATAAGATACATGAACACACCAAGAGGTACCGAAAGTTGAACTTTAATTGGTCGTAAGTTGTGTGAATCAATCTGATGTCACGAGCACCACATCGGGAGAAACCTCATGAATAAATTGCACGAAGAAAAACGAGACGATATAATAGAAGAAATTCAGACATTACTCATAAAATTTCTACAAACATCAGGAACAAAAACTCTTTTGAATAGTCAATTCGTTCTGTCTCAATTTCAAAGAGGATTGCCAACAATGCGCCAAGTGTCACGTGCATAGTAAGAAGTGTGTTACAGTAGGATCCGCTCAAAAATTCCTTAGAACAGACCTATCTACTAGTGACATTCATTAATTCCCCAGACTGAAGGATGATAAAAGCTTACGCTCGGCGGAGATGTAGGTTACAGTGAGCGTAGCCCAATCAAGAATAACAGAACGGCCACTTCGGTGGTTACCCGTGAGCAATCGGGCACTACTTCACCAAATAAACAGTGACGGACGGTCAGCGACGATGTCTGAAGATGTGACCAGTTACCGCTTGACAAGTGATCTTTGCAAAAAGCCAAAAATGATAGTATTTACAGTTGTGGAATGTGCGAATGTAGCTAGCCGCTAGATAAGACCCTTGCTGTTACTTTTGACCTGTACACAGGACTCCATTGTGCACGGGTCATGTCGAAAGAACATCAGACGGTACTTAACTCCTATTATTTTATTAGGGATGAAATTGCTAATTCGACTTTGCTTCGCGTAGGAAAAAACCGCCTAAGTTCGACGAAGTAGTAGGTGCTGATGCTCATTAACGCACTTCTTCCTGATGAGCACTAGGAAACAGCAACGTGAATGTGAATGCAGTGACCTTCATTTGGAATGTAAACTCTGCCACACCGAACTACGTCGGGCACTTCAAAGATTATAGCTAATCCTGTCTGGAAATAACCAATATACACAGAGGTGTGTAAGTTGAATTGAAGCTTTCGGGTAAATGTAAATAATGTGCATGGTAGCTCACTCCGGCTACGGTTCATTGGGTATGCTGCTTTCTTCTCCAGGTTGTTTTGAGCGTTCTTTGGAGGAAGAGGAGAAGGATCACATCGTTTAACTGCCCCGGGGTGATTGCTCGGAAGTCACGTGTGGTCGGAAAACATAACTGAATCCAGATGAATGGTTACGACTAATAACAGCCCGAACAGTCGGAACCTTATACGAACAAGATCATACAAAAATAAAATGTACCCGCATTCTCGCTCTCCAATTTGTCAATGATTCGCTCCGCTGCTATGTGGATTCCAGTGAACGAGAAATCACAGTCGCGCTTCTGAGACCGTGGGTTGGGTAGGTTGAATAGGTGTGGTGAGCCGGGACACTCTGTAGCCAGAATTTCAATCGCACGACCACCACTGACTTCTTTCAGTCGAGGATCCTGGATTCGATTCAGTTTCAGCCGTCGTGCAATCTATGGAAACAAGGAAACGAGAGGTAGCGTGAACCGAGAGAACAAATTGTGCCCAGAATCAGTGTAGAAATCCCAATTATGAAACAATAAACTAATAGCTTTGTTGTTGAATCACTAAATAGTGTTCCTTCCACCATAAGCGTATGATCGTAGAACGTTTACTCCCTCCAAGCGGAAACATCGCCCTGAGTCGAACTGATTTTACTGCAGGGAATCCTAAGAACGAATATGTTCTTCGAACAAACAAGATTCTCAGAGTCAAATACCTACAGAGGGAGATAAAACCTTATTTACTCCTGTGCCACAGACAACTCGTTGACCATGCTCTTGTGACAGGTATCAAATAGTGCACTTGGGTAAACTCATGTGCACGTTATAGACCATCCAGGTGTTTCATGTAAGTTCGTTCGAATTCTTTGACAAATGAAGTAAGGGGATACTCCGGAATTCCACGTGTCATGTTTTTGTGCGCGTGAAGGTGGTCGCGACAATCACTGACGCCGATGATGGTGGCTCTTGTAAAACAGCTATGGGCTTTTAGTTTTACAAAAATTGAGCCTGCAAGGGCTACTTGATATATTCAATGCAGATTCCACACCACAGGATTTGGACTTGCTAGTGTCCATAAATCCTGCTTGAACGGTCAGTCAGAAAAAAACATTTTCTGGCTCAGGGTAGTGAAGCGGTTTCCGTGAGGAGGAGAACATTCATTTATATGATTATGGAAAAAGAGCCCGGCATCGAATCAATGGGGAGCAAAAACCTTCGAGTGTAAGGAAGATGCAGTGAATTTGTTCTCTGAAAGTGATAATAACCAAGAAGAAATGGTTGAGTGCACGAAGGTAACGATGCATAGTTGTTGTGTCTCAACTAAACTATCGTCGAACCCGATCCCACGATTCCAGTTCAAAGACGGTTGCAAACGGTTTGAGCCTTTATTGGTAGTGCCAGCCAAACGTAGGTTGAGTAAAGAAGAAACGCGTGGCACTCCTGGGGTTGATCACTGTGCAGAAGTTTGTCCGGAAGAGAGAAGACGTGGGTGGCGATGGAGGAAATGCACAAATCAAGTCACCGTGCTGTGTCAGTTACTCTGAGGCCTACGTATTCAGGACGATCGAGAAAACAACAAAAACCGCGGTTGATCCCAGTCCATTTCAAATGTAAACTGCAAGAATTTCCAGGGTTAGATTAGGCTTCCTCTGACAGAAGTGCAGCTCAAGCCGCCGATTTACAGCGGATATTCATGCTCAAAATACAAAACAGAAGAAAATGCCAACTTTGCACCGAGGACTACAAGGCGAGAAAACACTGATGGTGGAATATTTCGGATCAACTGTTTTTTATGATGCATCCATGTGCAATGAACAGCAAACGGTGTCAACCCCTGTTTACAAGAACGTGTTGATTAGTCACGGAAACCAGCAATCTAAGCCCGCAAGAATTGGAGTGGGGAATCACACAAGGCCCTAACAAGTTAGGTATAGTATTGATTAGAACGACAACGAAGCTACCTACCAAAGGTTTCGTAATATACCATTTCAGGCAATATAAGTAACAATAATTTTGTAAAACATGGAAAATTCCTATTTAGTAACCAACGCGAACAAACTTGTTTTCTCGACTTCGTCTTCCGGTACTTACATTTACATGCATGTCTATATACAACGCACGCTGGAATATCGGTTAGTGAGTAAACTGGAGCCAAGTTGTGTAGAGTAATTCATTAAATGACAAAAAACGAAAGGTTCTAATATACATGCGAAGGGAGGAACACTGAGGAATAAAATTATTCTCTGTAGCGCTCTGTTGACCTTAGCGTTTTTACATCATCATCGAGAAAGAGTAAACCAAATTGATGGGTTGCGACCACCTCCGCTATCATTAACTGGGATTGCTGCACGAGCTTTGATCTCATGGATGGAACTCGGTAAATGACTTTGAAATTGTCGTTGTCAACCTGATGCCCTCCCTATTCCTGTGAAGTGGGTTACGACTGCGATTTTAAATACTTTCATGAATTCAGTGTAAAACCAGGCTGGTTAGTGTTTTCTGATTCTTCGCAGAAAAATGTCACGTCTTCCAACCTCAATAAGTAGCCGCACAGGTGTCAATAAATGATAAGTAACCACTGATGAGGTGAGGATGGGCAGTTTATCTATGAGACTAATGTGCATTCATGGGTTTCTAGTTAACGCTATTCGTAGAGTATCGGCTGGATAAGCCTGTGCAGTCGCCCTTTTTAATTGTCGTTTGAGTACCTAGCTACCTACTTCACCTTTGGAAGGCAACCTTAAGAACGTCTCTTTTCTTTCCGCTGCCATTGTTTCTGGTCTAGGTGGTCTTTCTATAATGTTCTTAGAAACGAACGGTTCAGGATGTCCGTTATTCTGATTTTGACTTCCTTAGTTTCTTTCTTCATTGTTTCGTCGGAGTAGATTCTACGGGCTCTGGTTGTGTGGTATCTTATAAAATGCCTAATATACTGGATGGGGATGAAGCTGGGAAACTGTATGTATAGAGCGTTCCCAGTCAGCTTGTGGTGGATAGAAGGGCTTATTTTTCAATCTGTATTTCTTCAGCTACGTTCAGAAAACGAAATTCGTTTCTTTCCTCCACTTCGGATGTAAGATTAATAGCATTGTGAACCGGGTTAGAAAAATTCCAAAATTACGTTGGGTAAAACATGTCACTTGAAAACAACAAAGTTGTCGTCAACATAACGGAGGTATTGCGGAAATTTCCGTACAATATCCCCGCAGTGAATGATTTTCCAGTTTGGAGACGAATGTCTACTGGTAGCAGGCCCAATGGACCCCATGGCTACACCGTCCTTCTCTCTGTAGATCTCGATGTTAGATGAGAACTGGACCTTGAAGATGCATCCCAGAAGGAGTT